ACAGATTTGGGGGACGCCACACGGACGGACACACATTTTTTCAAGTATGGTTATTTTTACTCCTGGGACCTTAAAACGTCTAGAAATGATGAAATTTCAACTTTTTTTTTTTTTTTTTTTTTTTGGAGGATGACAATACTTCCTCTCTACCCTATGGGAGCGAGAAAGTAAAACCTCGTGCGTGGGACCCGAAGTTCAGGTCATATGGATCTCTGAAGTTTTCAGATTGAGCATCTGAGCACTTTACGTCTAGCTACCGAGGCCCGGATCACATATCTGAAACTTCAGTTCTTACATGTGAAGTGAGTACTTCAGATGTGAGAACCGAAGTTTTTTGGATGTGAAAACCGAAGTACTTCAGATGTAAGAACTGAAATTTCAGATGTGTGATCCGAACCTCGACAGCTAGACGTAAAGTATTCAGATGCTCAAACTGAAAAATTCAGAGATCCATATGACCTAAACTTCGGGTCCCGCGCACGAGATTTTTTTCTCCTTGCGAGGCGAAAAAATATAGTTGCACCTTGAAGGAAGTGGCTCAAAAGTTACATTGGGGACGTTGGTAAAGTCTTTTAGTGAGAGGCCCGGGTTTTAACCTCCCAACCCCTCCCCCTCTGCACGGAAATTTATTTCGATCCTCCTTCGGAATGTGAGGAAGTTTGCTGAGTGACGTGACATGGACGCGTGATGTATCTTTCATCTTCGATATTGTAGTTCGATCAATTCTTCGAGGAGATTGGCTCAAAGTTGCTACTGAGACGATTCAATTTTTCAAAATTTTCCCCAAAGGACTAGCGGCTCCCTATTGGAGCTAGGTAAACCCCCCGAACTCTCCTTTGGAACTACGAGGGAGTCTCACAGATATCGTCGTCCCTCTGGCGCAGTGGTTCGAGTTAATTAGAGAGGTTGGACATGAAATTTTTGACTAAAACTGCAAATTTTTATCTCCATTCTGTCAAATTTTAAATTTCGATGGGTGCACATAAAAAAAAAAACTCACGAGAAAACCAATTCAACCATTTTTAGAACCTCAAAGTTTTGTATAAACTGAGTTATGAGCTTTTAAAGTTTCCAAATTTTGTCCGACCTCTCCTATTGACTCAATCCACTGTGCGTCGGAGGCGAAATGATATGTCAGAAAGTTGCGATTTTGAGCCGAATTTTGTTAATTTTCCCACCTAAAACGAAAGACACCAGATTTCAAAATTCCAATCTTCAAATGTGAAAAAAAAGCGAAGATTAATCATTGCTTATTGCGAAAATTTGACCCTTTTTGCCATGAATCATAGAAAAGCTCTCAATTTTTTTGGAGTCAGCCATTAAGCGTCCAAATAGAGTATTTAGACGAAATAGCCTATTTTCTCTGACTACTGTCCTAGAAAGAAATCATTAACAAGAGGAACGTAACAGGCATTGACTGGGCATCAATAATCCTCCTTCTTGGGATGAATAAAAAATGGAAATTCATTATTCAGCCCAGCGGGCTCTGGTCATTAATGCGCATTAGTGATTAGTTCCGGTAAAAATTCGGGTTCCATCTGATAGCCTCATCAACCAGACTGTAAGTGAGTTAGTAGTGACGCGTGTTGCCAAATGGAATACTAATTCATAGTTATGAGAAACACCTAACGAATATTAACCTGCGGTTGATCGTTTATGATGTCGACAATTTCCGGCGTAAATTTTATATTTTTCCGAGAGAAAAACCATTTTCGCGAAGTACTCAAAATGACATGAACAAACTACGTTCGAGATAAAATTTAATTACTTTATACAAGTGTGATTACTTGTTTGATTCTAGAGGGTCACAGAAATTAGAAGATGAAAAACCCGATCTGACAATCACGATGAGTCTAAGTTCCGATTGGTAATGCCACCGGTCACGATGTCAAAAGATAACTTTCGACCCCTCACTATTCAAATTGAATTTTTCCTTGTCATAGGCCATGTTTTATTGCCTCAGCCAACAGCAGAGAACGTATCACCGTGCGTGGATTATTGCCTTTAAAAAATAAGGGGGAAACTCGCTTACAAAGATCGGATTCTTGATAAAATATGCAATCATTGTACGTTTATTTCTAGAGAGCAAAATTGATAGTGTAGACGATATTTTTGGCGACGACTACCAAGTTCTGTCTTGAGCAATAGACCAGTGCTCTAATGCCCATTTCAACCGAATTTTGGTTTTGAGTTGAATCTTAATTGCAACTCTAAAAACTGATCGCGATCACTACGGCCCTATCAGAAACGATACCCATAGTAGATGTGATCTATCAATTTGATGTGTCAGATTATATGATATATGATTGATTGAGATTATTATACACTATTTTTGAGCATTTTTAAATGAGTGCTGCACTATTACTTTTGGAGACACCGTGAGTGGTGGACTTTAAGTAAAGCTTATTGTTAGCAAATTAGTTGGGAAAAAAGTAAAAGATTCTTTTCCAAATAAGTTCCAGTTTTACCCAGAACTTCGTTCCTTTCCTCCTTAGTGATTAAGTGAAATCATTGGTGAGAGCTTAAAAAAATCACCATGTTGTATAATTGATCAATCTCATCAGAAATCATCCAAAATTAATATTTTGGTTCTGAAATATTATTTTTAGTTTATCAATTGTATCATGGCTCATGCCACACTGCGATATCAGACTATATTACCCACCAACTTTTCAGATTTACAGTCTGGTCGAGACACATGATATCATCAGTATTTTTTAAGATAGTTTTCACTTATTCCTCAAAACTAAAAGATGGTTTCGTTCCGACCAGAGAGGCACCAGGCAAGATACAAGCTGAATCATGTCGTGCATTTGACATTTTAGGCATAGGCTTTCAGTTTCGGTTAACTTCTTAATCATTTCAGAGTTTCAATTATTTTTTAAATCTTTAAAAAAGATATCAGGCAGCATAACGTGCAAAATTATAAACTCGCGGTAAAAAATATTAAAGAAGGACTCACAGTTCCTATTCGGTTGGATGTGGTATCTAGTTTACTTCAACAATTCCACCGCGACTAAAACCGCAATTTCACGAGGGCTTGATTTCACCAGAAACACAAATAAAGATAAGGGCACAAACTAAAACCAGCCGAACCGGAAAAAGCACAAAAATCGTGAAAACTCACTTAAAGAATTTAA